TCTGCCATAGAGATATTGTTGTGACATATAATTAATTTTACTAATTTAAACTGCTAAGATATTTCTAGCCGCTAACCGGGGATATAGCAGCTAGATTAAAAATATATATTATGGCTAATTGAAAGCAATTAAAGAAAAAAAAGCTAGAAGCTCCTCCTCTACCGGAAGAAACTACTTCGAATTTGCAGACTCCGGAAGTGTTAGGGCAAAAGCTAGATAAAAGAACCCTCCGCAAAACCGGAAGGACCGAACAATTTGCGACAAGAGTAAGCAAGGAATGATTAGCCAAGGTGAGAACAATTGCTAAAAAAGAGAATTTAAAGTTGGTGGAGGTGTTGGAGAGGGCAGTGGAGAAGTATGAAAAAAAAGAACTAAATTAGAACCTAAAAAGAAATTATTTTTTGCTTGCTCCGGGAATTCCGTAAGGTTGTTGGAGAATTTGGGCTTGTTGTTGTTGTTGTTGTTCAAATTTGGCTTCATTTTCTGATCGATAACTCAAATCTATTGAAGCAAAATCTGGTTTTTTTATTTGTGGAGGTGAAGATTTTTCATCTCTTCATCAAGTTTTAAGTTCTTGGTATTCGGAGGAGCTTTCGATCATTTGTTTAATTTCTTTGGTTAGTTGGGTATGTTCGGCTACTAATTCCGGATAATTTTCTTTATCTTCGCTGCTGGCACATTGGCTTTTTACTTCTTCACCATTGTTAACTCGAATGGTGTTTTGATAAGCATGAGCTAATTCATGGGCCATAGTTTCGATTAATTGGTCAAAACCAACCGTTAAATAACCATTTTCACTAAAAAATCACTTATCCATACCTAATTTATCTAATAAAAATTTTTGGCTCAGAGTGATTGATATTTCCCCTTGATAATTTTCGCTCGCTGCTTGACCATTTATTTTAGTTACTTGGTGACTTAATTCTCAAGCACAATTCCCCATTTTTCTCTTTTCGGAAAAATCAGCAAATCCCCCAAAACCTTGAAAATCAATTTCGGGGTTATAGGTTCCATAAGGCAGGTTTTTTTGTTCACGAAACTTTCAATAAAAAACAGTGATTAGACTATCAAAGCAAGTTTGGATTTTAGGATCTGCTTTTAAGGGATTGGTAAGGGTTTTTCATTGTCCATTTTTTTGTTTTTCTCAGTAGGAATTATTTTGGTTCATTATTGTTTGTAAGGTTAGCTTATGATTGGCTGAGTAATAAGATAGTATTCTCCACTACATTCTTTTTGGCGGAGTTCATGCCTTTGTTTATTTATATAATTTAGATTACTATAAAAATGAATGAGCGTTATTGGTTACCTCCTTTACTGGAACCAGGAGTGCCATAAGCTGGTTGAACAATTTGGGCTTGTTGTTCATTAGTTCGTGTGTTATCAATTGTTTCTTGCTGGTAAGCTTGTCTTAGTTCGTTTAAGTTTAATTCTCCGGTAATGACTTTTTTTTTGATTCACTGAGGTTCAGAGAAGTTTTCTAATTCTTGGCTTTTTATGTCTCGTAATCAAGCAGCAAAATTAGCCTCAGTGGATTGCAGACCGGCTTGCATTCATTGTTGGACTTGCTCATAGGAGAAACCACGATTTTGTCAAGGTTGGGTTGATTGGGGAGCGAAGTCAGGGCTAATATTGGTTAAATCTATAATTTGATGTCTATCTATTTTT